ACCCATCCATCCATCCACCCATCCAGCCACCCATCTATTCGTTCATCCATCCATCCACCCACCCATCCATCCATCCATCCATCCACCCACCCATCTATCCACCCACCCATCCATTCATCCATCCATCCATCCACCCATCCATCCATCCACCCATCCATCCATCCACCCACCCATCCATCCATCCATCCGTCCATCCACCCACCCATCCATCCACCCATCCATTTGTTCATCCATTCGTTCATCCATCCATCCATCCATCTGTCCATCTGCCCATCCATCCATCCATCCATTCTTCATTAGAGCACTTGTAGAACGGCCACCTTGCACCACACACCATGCTAGGTGCTGAGGATGTGAAGAATAAGATCTGCTCTCTCCTCCTGGAGTTCACAGTCCAGTGGGGGAGACAGCTAAGTAGACCAGCGATGACGGTCAGCCTGAGGAACACTCTGAGGGGAGCCCAGCGCACCTAGATGAGAAGGGAGGCCTCCTAGTCAGACCCTGAGGGGAAGGGAAGGTCAGAGCTGTGTCCTGGAGGATGAGCATGCTATAGGGACCTTCCTTCCTCCAGTAAAGGTTCTGGCACTACTTCCCTTCCTGTTGCAGTGGGAGACAAGTCCCTCTCCCAGGGTTTGGGTCCCCTCCCTGCCCACATCCAGGTGAGGGCAACTCACCCCTCACTCATCTTCATTCACAACCTTTCATTTTCTGATGTTTTCCTCCTGCGGTTTACAGACACATTCAGATCTCTTTCATTTTAAAATTTTAATACAACAATAAAAACCCTCCCTTGACCCCAGTCCATGGTTAGCTACCTCCCTATGTTCTTCTGTTCACATAAGTGTCCTGAAAGAGCAGTCCACAGTTACTGTCACCCTTCCCTCTTCAGACTTCAGCAGACAAGCTCCTCCCCCAGGGACAGTTCTTTCCTGTCCCTGCAGCTGCCTGGGCAGGGGTCCCCGTGTTCTCGGACCTCTGCTTGCTGGCCAGTGGGTGACCCTGATGCAGCTGCCCATTCCTTCCTTCCTGAAACTCTTTCCCTTGCTTCAGCAGCACCAGTCAGGTCTTCCTCCTCGATGGCCCTTGATTCTCCGTGTCCTTTTTGGGTGCCCCTTCGTTATGTGTCTGCGGCGACTCCTCCGCTCACGCTGTGCCAGTCCCAGGAGGGTGCACCCCCCCCCCCGCCATGCCTTCACCTGCCTCCTGTGCACCGATGCACGGCACAGGGCACCTGGAGTCTCCAGTTCATTCCCCAGCGGGTGGCCAGCTGGAGGTCTCCAGACGTCTCCACCTGGGTGTCCCTGAGAACTCAGACTCACCGTGGCCCCACTGAACTCCTCACCGTCTCCCCAGGCCTGCTCTCCTTCCTGTCCTGTCCACCTGAGGGCACAGCCCCGCCAGCCACCCCGTTATCGACGTCAGAACCAGGAAGGCATCCCAGGCGCCTCTCTTCTAACCTCCCTGACCTGGACCCCACCCAGCCGGTCGCCAGGTTTTGTGACTCTGTGTCCTCAGTGTTGCTTGTGGCCCTCTCCGCTCCACCGCCTCTGCCTTATCTCTGACTCACAAGCTCTCACCTGGACTGCAGGAACCTTGAAATTCCCTGGTTCTCAAACCCTGGCCCTGGGGCAGGCACTGGACTGCCTGTCCCCTCCCCCTCTTTCCTTCTTGGCTTTGCCCCCACTCCACAATTCCTCCTCATCTCGACTTCTGACATCCTGCTGTGCCTCCCCTGCTGTGTGGCTCCAGGGCCTGGTGTCATGCGGCCAGGTGGGGAGGGAGCCGGTGCGTCCACCAAGAGCACATAACCTTTGGGTGGGGGAAATTCACCCCCAGATGAGGGCCATTTGCAAGCCCAGTTTGTTGGAGAGAGTCAGATATCTCACGAGTCCGCTATCTGGGCATTCCCTGGAAACCAGGTAGATCCTCCAAGAGCTCCAGGGCTACTTGCAGCCTCCTGCGTCTGGGTTGAGACTCCTCTGCCTCATCCCGACGGTGTCCAGCCTGACCCAGCACCAGCAGGCTGCGCGGGGGGTGGAGGGATGGGCACATCCCCATCTAGATACAGCCATGCATATTTGTTCTTGGTGTCGATGCGGCAAGGACGTGTCTGTTGATTTTGTCTGTACGGAAATGGAATAGAGTGCTTTGGCAGGGCTCGGGGAGTCCGGGCCAGGAGTTTGCACCCTCCCTTTGAGGGCACACTGGGAACACTGTGCACATAGCAGACTCTCCCTTGTCCCCGGCCTTCCCGAGCCAGCTCATGACAGCTGCATCTGTTTGAAGGGTCTGCCTTCATCTCAGCTATCTGGGCCCCAGAACTCTTAGACCCCTCCCTCACCCCAACATTCAGGCAGTTGACAGAGGGGGGCCTGGATCCAAAGTGTTTCCGACACAGGCATCCTCCTTGCTGCCCACCACTCCCATGCCCTGGCAGGCCCCTCACCCACCCCTCGTGTGGGCTCCTGCCTGAGCTCTGGGCTGTCTCCTGCGAGCTGCTGTCCCCCCACCTCATTTATTCATTCAGCAAACATGTTGGAGCACTTCCTATGCCGGACACTGTGGCAGATTCTGGGGATGCCAAGACAGAAAAGCCACAGGCCCTGTCCTGGAAGGGCTCACAGCTGGGGATGAGAGGTGGCCGTTCCGCAGATGACTCAATGCAGAGCTGTGCTCACGCTATAGCAGCGGAACAAAGTGAGGGTGAGGCAGGGGGAGTGGGTTAAGGAAGGCAGCTGGGAGGAGGAGAGACGGGAGCTAGGCCTTGAGCAGTGGGTGCTCCCCTGGCACACAGCGGGTGGGGGCACACGAAGGGGAAAGGAGGCATTCCCAGCACACGTCTGCCCCACACCCTGGGCTACAACTGTCCCGTCCACGTGCTGCTCCTAAACACGCCCTGCCAGCTCCCGGGCCCCTGCCATTGCTCATGCCACTCCCCGTTAGAAAACCACCCGTACGTCCCCCATGCAGAGGTCTGTCTTGAACTTTTACCCATCCTTTAAGATGCCATCTCCTCCTGGAACCTTTCCTGACCACTTCTCCCTCCTCGACTCTCTTCAGCATTTTGTGCTTCTGTTGCGGCCCTGGTCATTTTATATTCCTTTGGTTTGTTTACATTTCCTCTTCTCCCTCCTGTTACAACTTCCTTGAAAGCTAGCTTGGCCATTGCGCTAAAACTCTAATGAGCACTTTTCTCAGCAAAGGCAAAGAGCAGGACGAAGTGTGCACTGGCGTGTTCATGTTCTTGGCCTTGGGGGGCTGGAGTGGTCTGAGGTGTGTGACATAATACAGTACCTGCTATTTATGTGGGAAACCCTTGGCGTTAGAAGAATATATTCAGAGGCACTTTTTCCTCTCTCTGTCCATGTAGGGTTCGATGACCTTCACGTGTGTGCGGATCCTGGCATCCCCGAGAATGGCTTCAGGACCCCCAGTGGAGGGGTTTTTTATGAAAGCTCTGTAACCCGATTTCACTGCCAAGATGGATTCAAGCTGAAGGGCTCTACAAAGAGACTGTGTATGAAGTACTTTAATGGAACCCTAGGTTGGATCCCAAGTGATAAAGCCATCTGTGTGCAAGAAGGTAAAGTGCTTACCTCTCTGTGGAAGCCACTCGTGTGGCTCAGCTTGCAGGGGCCCTGGGGAGCAGCGCTGTGAGTAACGGAGAGCCCAAGGCCTTGGGTTGTTCTCTCTGGTTCGGGGTTAACCCGCTCACTCACAGGAAAGCAGGAGCATGTAATGAGGCCTGGGGTAGCGGATCAATTAATCTCTGCATTAGAAGTCATAGTCTTTTTTCTCTATCTCAATTACAATCCAATTTATCACCATTTTTGTCAATGCAAGAGAGCAACTTGGGTAACATCAGGGCTGTTTATTATTAGGCTGCCAAGTCAGCACTCATTTCCGTGTTACTCAATAAAAAGTATAGTAAATATATTGTGCGAAAACCGTAGTTAGTGGTAACAAAAGATATATGTTACCCAGAGGATTAAATCAATTACTACTTATCAGTTCTGTTAAACGTGAATCATTTAAGAAGAGAAAGAACTGTGACAAGCAGTGGCAGATTGACAAGGTAGACATTTATTTCTAGCAATTATTCCTAAATGTGTTGGTGGTGACAAGATCTTCATTTACTTCCAGCAATTACCCTACATCTGTTGATTGAAACAACTTTATATACTTTTTTTGCTTTTACTCTATGTAGATACATTTAGAGTTTTAAAAAATGCGTTTAGTTTAACTAATTGGAATCCCAAATTATAGATGACGTATCTTAGAGGATAAGCAAGGCTGCAGTTGGAGTAGGCACGAATCAAGAATTCAATCTAGCCCCAAATTTCCATTAGGCACAGAACTTGTATTTCATTGAGTTTGTTAGAAATCAGTTTCAGTTTCTCTTAATACTGTTATTGATTTTATTTTGGGATGGAGCTTTTACAATAATGTATGTAAGCTATTATGGTGATTTAATGTGTATTTTCTTTGTGAGACTTTTTAAAGAATTGAATCCAACAAACATTCTTTGAGCATCTATTATGTTCTTCCCGGTGGACATTGTAAAGAATGGGTAAGAAGGTGTCTTGCCCTTAAAGTACTTGCTATCTTAGCTTTTATTTTCAAGGTATTAAAAAAAAGCCAAAATTAGTATAATAAAGATTTAAGGTTTTTAAAACTAAATTCATTTTTTTCTCTTGCATGCAGCCCACACAAGCTGTGGTTTCCCTAAGATTCCATTTGAAGTTCACTGAGTTCATATATATGGATTTACCTGCTAAAGTCTGTGGCCTGTGTTACCCAGGGCTTAAAAACCAGTCAAGCGGAGGAACATTAGAGAACAAAGAAAACCAAAACAGGCGTCCTGAATATTGCCCAGAGGTGAAGGCTTCTTTTATCATCCTAGGAAAAAAAAAGTTTATCAATTTTTGGATAAGCTTCTTTCCAACTCTGCACAAAACTACATACTATGTAGTAATTCCAAGAAAGGGAGTGAGAAATCACCTTGGAGTGGGAGGCTTCTGTTGTCCAGGTTTGAGGGCGTAATTCTTAACACTTAGCCCCAGGTGTGCGGGGGGCGCTGTGCACGGGGGTGGCAGAGCACGGTCAGCGCCTTTATTGTGCGACCTCGAACAAGACCACGTGTTCCCAAAGGAGGGTCCAGGCCTCTGCATTCCAGTTGGGATGTTGTGCTCTAATCATCATTTTGGAAAGTTTAGAAGAACAGGTGTTACCTCTCTAAGTACAATGGTGCATTTATTTTTGGAATTAATGGTAATTTTGTTGATTTTTGGAAGACCTGTATAAAAAGATTGCTTTTGTTGCCCCGATGGTGGAGAAAATCATCATTGTTAACATCCTAGGCCTTTTTATTCTATGTGATTTATATATAGGAGGGTGGAGGGGGAACCTAGAAGTCTGTACTGTGGGTGTCGCATAGCAGAGAAGAAGCTAAACTTTCTTTTTCCTGTTTTGCAAACGGCCCTTCCTCCCTGGGCAAATAGTGAGGGCTGCTGAATTCACTTGTTTCCCTTACCAGGTAATTCTTAGGAGGCTAATGAATGTTTGTATGGTAATAATAGTAATAACAATAATAATTTATCACATTTTTATAGGTCATTAAAGTTTAAAAGTGCTTTTGGATTCACTCTCTCATTTAGCACGCACAGCTGCCCTACAAGATGAGTCTTACTGTTCTCACTTCCTGATTAGGAAACTGAGGCTCAGAGAGGTTCACGGGCTTCGTCAAGGTCACACAGCTGATGGGTAAGCAGCAGAGCCGCAACTAACCCTGAGCCAGCGTTTATTTCCTTTGCAAAAGCCCCACTCCAGCCAGTTCTGCAAGAGCACGCTGGTGCCACCATGGACATCATCCAGGTTCAGGGCTGGAGGGACTCACAGAAATTACACAATCCAAGCCCTCATTCTGACTTCGTTCTCGTTTGACCAATAGAGAAACGGAGTCTCAAAGAAGTTAAGAACCTTCCCAGAGTTACATGATGAGTTAGGGACAGTCCTGTCGTAGCCCTGGGGCTTGTCACTGTGACCTGGACTCGTCCAGTCTTTCACTCTACTGGCCAGTCCTGTCGGAGCTGCAGCTTTCAGAAAAGTAAGTTCATCCGTGTTAAAGTGCTTTATGGTAGTCGCGTGTCTACAGAACCGAGCAGTGTTGGGTGACTGTTCTCTCGGCGCTCGCAGGTCCCTCTATTTCTACCTCATTCTGCCACGTGTACGGCCACCTTCCCCTCTCACACAGCCCTTATTCCGATCTGAATTGCCTTTTCCAAGTCGACTCGAGTGGTAGCGGTTTGGGCTCACAGAGGCGGTGCTGTAAGGAATGAATTCGTTTTATGGCGCCGAGTCTCTGACCTGAGGTGTCTGTGCTTCTCCACCCAAGCTGCCTCTACAGAACCGGAGCCCGCGCGACCCTAAGCGTGGGTGAAATGTCTGTGGGCCAGGGAACAGGGGAGGTGACAAATACAGTAGAGAGGAGACCCAGGAATTGGCCAAGGACTGAAAATGTGCCCTGGGGCACAGGGCTGCTGACCTATATACACAGTGACCACAGGCCATTGTCTGGGCCACTTCCTTTTTGAGACCACTCAACTAGGTAGACTTGGGGACACCTGAGTAAATAGACCCCTTTCCTACAGAAAAAGTAGAGGTGAGGTTAGATTGACTTCACCTGAACTCACTTTACAGACACTCATTCGACACCTGTGTCCTTCGAGGACAGGGCCCGATGCTGCTCCTCCAGCTCTGTGGTGTTCAGACCGGGAAGAATTAGTGTATTTAAAAAGTAAATGTTCCAAAGAGACTAAAAGCAATTCACTACCCATTTATATTATGAACAAATATTCTATGAGAGAAGGGAGAAGAATCAGCCTATGTCTTGCCAAGACCTGTTGCTTGTCAATAGCAATGAAAATATTTCCTCACTTAACCACCCTTGGTGCAGCTGGGCTGCGAGTGCATCTCAGCCTGTATGGCGCCAGCTGCACTGGCGAGAGAGAAGTTTTTGGTTTTGCTTTTTAAATAGAGAACTAAACAACTGATTGCAGTTCCTGGGTAGGTCGAGTCTTACTTAGGCTACGAGACGATGTTGTACGGCACCCTAATTCCTTCTCCCTTAGGAGTCTCATTCCTGGGAAGGGTGTTCGTGGCATTTTAAAACCACATCCCTCTAGCAGGAACTTCAGCATCTGGGTGGATTTAGGGTGTCCCTTGAGCGCCTTTGGGTATAGGCAACATGCCCCTGTGCAGAAAGACGACTCTTTGCTTCTTTGAGCTTCCTTTTCTGGGGTATGTGCTTTTGGAGAGACTACGCGAGAGATGCTACAGTCTTAAATTCTTATAAAATGGGATATTTATGTTTGAGGACTTCTTCACAGAGCTCTTCTCTGTGGGTGGAGGGAGAACCTTTCTCTTTTTCCCTAACCATCTACCTTGGGTGCTCTGCCAACTGTCACTGGTTGCGTTGGTCATTTGGTTTCAAGTCAATTTCAGATAAATCCATATTAAGCAAATAAAATATTTTCACGGAGCTGGAGTCCCCCAGGTCTAGCAGACAGCTTGTTTAGGTGAGAGCCTTCCAGAACAGATTCCCAGAACACCTTTAAACCACTGTGGGGCTCTTCTAAATCCCCACATTACATGTGCCCCTGCAGAGTGGTGCTTGTTTTAAAATGAACTGACTGAGCAGGAAATTCATCCTCCGTAGTTGGCCAGTCAATCCTTTAGCCAGAGAGGGGCAGAGGGGACAAGTAGGAGACAGGAGGAATTTAGCGTAACCCCCAGAAGCGCTGCCTCTGTCAGTCGAGCCCATCCTTGCGACGGTGCCCCTCGCTGTGAGAACAGATGCCCCCCAGGGTGGCCACAGGCTCTGGCTTGAAACCCCGGGGACGACCTGCGGCATCATGTGAAGAGCAAGCCTTCGGGGCGGAACCTGTGGCCGTGGCGTGAGGGGAACATGGTTTGTTTCTGTGGGATTCGCCTCACGACCCAAAGAACAACCTCATCCAACCTTTCAGCCCTCCCTAAGGAGAGGTCCCTTGGTCTAGGAGGGAGATGTAGGCATGAATGACACGCAGTAGCCGTTCTGCACGTAGCAGCCAGCTCCAGGCACCCGCTGGATGTTACTACTTATTGCCGGCATGTCCCATCCACCAGGTACAAAAGGGAGCCCTGCGGCAGCTCCCTTTTCCTTGCCTGCCTTCTTCAGTGGTTTGGCCATGGGTCTGGTGGAGCCCATAGACCTCTGTCTTCACCTGCTGCTCCCACAGCCTTTACACAGGGGTCTGGTTAGATTTGCATTCCCGAGGTGGGTCTTTCCCGTGGGTATGCACACGGAGCTCCTGCAGGAGTTGATGATTTCTTCCCCCTGGCCTTTTTCTTTTACTGCTTTCGCTGACATTGTCGTTCCAAGTGCCGTTGCCGCAGCCGTTTGTAATCATTCACCCACAAGGAAAGCACGTGGGCATTCTTTCCTGCCGCATTTCTGATTGGCTTAGTACACACTTTAAAATTGCTTTGGCCACTGTTAATGTTGTCAGTACAGTCGAGGCTGAGTTCTCCACAGGGCAGTGT